TCATGATACATACACTATGATACATACACTATGATACATATACTGTGATACATACATTATGATACATATACTATGATACATACATTATGATACATATACTATAATACATACATTATGATACATATACTATGATACATACATTATGATACATATACTATGATACATACATTATGATACATACACTATGATACATATACTATGATACATACACCATGATACATATACTATGATACATATACTATGATACATACACTATGATACATACACTATGATACATACACCACGATACATATACTATGATACATATACTATGATACATACACTATGATACATACACTATGATGCATAGAGTATGTATATCATACTGGTCAAGTTTCTCAGCTTCACCTGTCTTACTGGCCAATCAACTTATTCGTGCAGTTCATTGGCCCACTGTCCCTTTTTTACAATAATGAGTTACGTAATACACGTTGTGACAAGACACAAACTGCGATATAAGTTTATTGTACCTTTCTTCGTACGTTAACGGGAATTAAAACCAAATGTTAAAGCCTCGGCCAGGTGAAACTCTGAGGCGTGTTAGTTAACAGGCCAAAATGCAAGTCAAACTAAAATATAACAGTACTGTTGTATGTTCACCCACTTATATTAAAATAGAATTGACCTAATCTCGATATAATTGACAGACTGACAAATCACATTATTGTGTTAGTTTTAGAAATAGTTAACATTCGCTGACGTTGATCATGTCGAAACAACAAATAACAAATAGTCGTCTGACATGATATTAATGCATTGAATGCATCATAATATGGACATTACTTACACACGAATTACGACGCATTTTTATACATCAATAAATCATGTTTAGTAAATAGAATTGGTAGTAAATACTCGACACAGCAGTTGCTTTCGAAGGTTACTCGTAATTAATATCTACAAGAATTCTGTTCGATTCTGACGCCCTATACATTATGCAATTGTATCCACTCTTGTTGCAACGAGGACATTCAATTGTTTAATTTATTTAACGTGTTACGTTACAGGCATTGGTGGTTATTCTATTATTCATTGTAGCATTTGCTGCTGCCTTTCACATGCTAATGCGAAAACTGGTAAGTCTGTTTAACATCTGATTGAGCAAATATAAATTGTAATCTGCACTAACGTATACTCGATGTTAATGTGAGATATCGTGTTGACACACGTTCTGTCGCCACTAAACAGATGTATATTTAAATATTACAATGTATTTTGCATTAGTCCGATATACTTTGTAACACATGATATCACAGGAATAGTATAGGCAAGTATATTTATATTAATCTATGCAGGAAGTATTTTCTACGCCTGTGGATTCAGCAATGAAAGTTCTTGTTATGACCATCGGTGAATTGGACTACACAGATATGTTTTATGATATAGATCTCGAACCATTTGCAGTTGCCTCTCAAGTCCTTTTTGTCATCTTTCTTTTTCTGATGCCAATCGTGTTGATGAATCTTATGGTGAGTCTCTGTTCTGTCTATGTTAAAATCTCACTGTGAGTCTCTACCCAGTATTTTTTTAATATTATTACGAGTTTCTACCCTGTTCATGTTTGAATCTGGGGGTGAGTCGCTTCTCTGTTCGTGTTTGAATCTCGTGACGAGTCTCTTCTCTGTTCGTTTTTGAATTTATCGGGGAGTCTCTAACCTGTTCATGTTTGAATCTCACCGGGCGTCTCTACTCTGTTCATTTTTTAATCTTATTACGAGTCTGTACCCTGTCCATGTTTGAATTACTCGGGGAGTCTCTAACCAGTCCATGTTTGAATTCTTCTGGGAGTCTTTACCCTGTTCAAGTTTGAATCTGATTTGAGTCTCTGGTGGGTATCTGTTCTGTTCTGGCTTGACGTCCAATAAAACACGCATAATTAAAAACACTCTTTTGTCCAATTAGAACGACGTACTCAGGCTAATTCAATAATAAATTTGGTCTATTTGATCTATTGTATTTTTTGTCTTTGCTTGACTCCTTAGGTCGGTATTGCAGTGGGAGACATTAATTTGGTACAAGAAACAGCATATGTTGAGAAGGTCGAAATGCAGGTAAGTTTTTGTGTTGCTTGCAATGAATGAATGAATGAATGAATGAATGAATTTGTTTCTCCAGGGTACAGCGGGTACACCCAGTTACAGTTTCCAAATAAATCAGGCAATGTAGTATATACAAAAGTAAACGAAATAAAATGTTAGCTAAGATTAGTGAAATACAGTGTCGTGTAAAAAATAAATTAATGAATAATTGAAATACTTTATTGAAGTCGTGTCTTCCCTGAAATATTTATATGACAACACAAAAAATTACACAGAACGTTTGAATTACAGAACAATTAAACTATACAAAAAACTTTGCATTGAATAATCAAGACACTGATAGTTATCGACTGAATAACATAACATAATTATTTAAAAGAGCAGCGTTGGACTATGCAGAAATTTCATCAAATAATCATCTGTGAGGTACGAATTAAAATGGATGTGATTTGAGCGTTATATATTCTTTGTTCTAGGTTGGTCTAATAGGCGGAATTGAACAAACATTGCCAACATGGCTGCAACGGAAGATGTATTTACCTAAATTGGTCAAACATCCACATGTAAAAACTGGTTGGAAGAAGGTAACTATTAGCTTAGAATGTCACAGACATGTATTCTCCAATCAAAATATTTCACATTCCAAAAGCATCTTTACTGAACTCATTACAGATACAAAGCAGATTTTCAAAAAGGAAAAGCAACGTTAAATTAGGTGACAATACTCGCGACCAACCTGATGACACAATTGAGAATTTACAAGAATATGTTGAAGATTTCAAACATGAGTAAGTATTATGTCAGGTAGCATGTACGTAGGTATATGTAACTAACCCGAATTGCGTTCTACACTAGATATATATATATATTGTTATGAATTGCTGGATATGTTTATTCCCCAGATATATCTATAAAAACTCTTAAATTAGATGCGAATTTTGTATCCAATTCAATTCAATTTAAATAATGTAATATTTTATTTAAATAATATAAGGTTATTACGAGAATACCTCACCGGAGGTCTGTGCTCAACGTACTTTGAGGTATTCTCATAATTACCCTATTATTATACATCTTTTCCTTCCAAGGATACACCATGAGAATGCCGAAATTCAAAGTGTTTACAATCAGCGAACTTCTTTGTGTGGAGTCCGGTCAAACTCTGGTGGCAGCCATGTTTGTTTTTATCATTGAAGGACGCTTACGCGCGTAATCATTCCATATTTGGAATTCGCATTTCCTAATATGTTAGGATGAAAATATCCCGTAAAATAACGCAAAATTACGGCACGCCGTAACTTATGGTCTTACGGTGACAGATATATAATAATTGTATTTATTTCTTCAGTGTGGAATCAAGGCTCAAGGTCATGGGTCAGATGATGGAACTTCAGGGCGGGTTGATGCAAAAGATGGCTGAGAAAATGGAAGTTATTTTTGACGAAGCTGACTTCAGAGCAATGGAAGATGCTTTGGATTGACTTCTATTTTAAAAAATAAGTTTAATTACACTCGTTCTGGGAACCAGGACATGTGGTTCATGTATGATTCAAGCTATAACACTTGTAATACTTGTAATTTCAATTATTCAACTTGTTAATGAATTATAATTGGATGTCATATAATAATTTAAAACCTTATTTGCATTAAAAAGAATATTTTTGCGGATCTTGCCAACCAAACATTTTTTACCCTGCCATTGAGATTTAATTATATTGATATTAATGCCACAGCTAACCAACCAAATTTGAGTTAAACTTCAAATTATCATATCTATTTCGTATGCTTGCAAGCACGTCTATAACTATCACAATGTACGCATACGTTATACTACGCCATTATAGTAATGTGCTGTTAACAACTAATATTATATATATATATATATATATATATATATATATATATAGGACATTGTGCAATGTACGCATTGAGTTGTAATAATTTATATAATCATCAGTTTATTTCTTAACTACTGTTAAACTCGATATTGGAATAAATGTGTACATGTCTTTTTTGTATAAGAGTGAAGCAAATCATTTGTATGCATGGGGTTATTTTACGGATATGATTATTTGTAATTGCATTAGTATATTTAAATTCGGATCACCTACCTCTATACCATCATGCCCTATTCACATGCGATGCTGAACCGGTCGAACAATTTACATCTGGTAGCCTGTGTGTCTTGTTGAACGCACTACTGTAATCATGAAAAACCTTGCCTAATTTCAGATTGTTGAGTAGTTAAACAACTAATAAATTAGTGCCGACTATATGCATTCATCGACACTTGACGACAAGCTTCACACTTATAGAAAACTACAATTCTTCATGTGACGACTGATTGTTGTATTAGATGATACCAGCCCGTCACTTTACCTAGAAAATTTGGCCGTAGCTAATGGATCAATAATGACATGTCGTAATGTAAAATCTCATTTCAGTATAAAATTGCGAGTTTTCTCAGAATGATGCATGGAATGCAGGTAATTATAGAAAATACATCTACACGAATAGCCACTGCTATAATGTGAGAATACTACATAAACTGGCCACATTCAGACGGTTAATGTGAATGCATTTTCATTTTCACTGCTGTTCGTGAGGATGCAATCGATAAAACTATGGCCTGCTACTGAATTCTCAGTACTGTTACTGAAATCTCATTTGTGAGGATTTACAATTTCATCGATTGCAGTGTGAAGTTCTGATGAGATTGTGAATTCACGCCAGTACACGTAGAATGCTTTTCACTGATTGTGTTCTCTCGAAATAACAATTCATTCTATACAAATTGATCAGTCCAAGTAGAATTCTCGCAATCAGTAGTGGACATGACACTGCATCGGTTAGAGCCCCATCTGGGACTTACATGTATAATTTATTCAGCAATTACTGACAAGCCATGATTGATGGTTTGCATAATACCTTATTTGGTTGAAGCTATTGATATATTTATACTGAATTGCTATTATATTGGTATATATAAAGGTACATTGTACATGTTCACGACGTTGCTGATGACGTAAAAATAAAAAAAAACTACATAACTATCAAACCCTCCATGTGTTGAATTTATTGTTATTGAGTGAAATGCAATCACGTTTATGTTTTAACATACATCTCTCGTGGAACAACGCTTGTCAATCTGGAATGAAATTGAGCTTATACTGATTACTAGTACTCTCTGTATTACATAGAAATAACCGACAGGGGAGTATGTTGATGACAATGCCAAATAAAATCATTTAAATTCTTCACAGATAATTATATCGCAAGAATGATTTATGTTGAGAAGATTTACATAACAACATAAAACCGCATAACACCATTGTACATTTCAGAAAGCATACTTACACTATTAGTAATAGTCCATACACAACATATAGCGTGAGTGAACCAGATCTATCCACAGTAAATAAATACTCTGAAAGCTTGGGTCCATATTGGAGAACACTGTCAGAGTTGACACGTTTTGTTTGTAATATTGTAGCACATACTGCCATGCTAAGTGACGCAGCTGTTTCACAACTAAAACAATGGCCAGTTGAGTCGATGCATGGAATGTAATTACCTTCCACGGTATACACAACGCACAATTTGATTCGCCGAAAGACCTGCAATCTGGCAACAAATAAGTTGCTCCCCGGTCAGTGTTAAGTATTAGGGTTGTATTTGTATTTCAGGTTGATCACTCTCTGGCGTCTAAAGATCCTTGAAAGCGACAGCAGAGCCGGTCAGTACGATTATTAACGGATGTCGTATACCGCCGTAAATCAGAGTTACCAACTATTGTTTTTTTTTCTGTTGATATTGATAACTAAGTCTCTCTGCCTCGAGACCATTTCAACATAAACAAGTCAATCAAACGTTTCCATTGTATTATCATCCTTTATTAGCCTAAAACTATATTATATTTGCAATTAATATTGTTGCAATAATACGATTTGACAAAGGACATAACTTGTGCAAAAAATCGTCAGTCTAAATTGGTAGTGACGTACGTCTGACGAAGCATACTCGATGCGAGCGAATGCTGTTTGTGCAATCCGTGTTAACCAGATGTTGCGCTTTCCGAGGTTTTATCAGTTCCTGGAGGTATAAAATAATCTCTATAATGTTCGTCATCCATAATATGTATTAGCGCTTACACTGCTGTATGGTCTCGGTAACTGTACCATGGGTAACTCTTCTGCATCAATGGTGATATCCAGTTTCTCGCTTATTTTCCTCAGCATTTCAGTTTGTTGTTGTAGGATATTACACACTTGGCGCTGACTGTTGGTAAACGAACATTTCGAGTCAGACGGTGATGAGACCATAAATACATATTTTAATGATATGCAACATGTAGCATGTAGTGTTCACGCGCTAGCCTGGACGTTTCTGGCACGTACGACATGCGCGTCTCCAGAAAAACATACACGCATTCCGTCCGCGTAACATAATGTCATAATCGATGACAAGTTCGATCTAATATTATATATATTGAGTATTTAACTACAAGAGTTCATAAAATACCTAAGTTTCTGTTTGATTATCTCTTGTTTCAGTTCTTCTAGTCTCATCTTATCTCTATCTTTGTCACTGATACTTACAAACTCAGTGTCGTTGGAGCTGCCGATGAAAAAACGTATCACCTTAAAAAAGAAATGATCAACATATAAGTGTTATCATAAATGTTTGGTTTGGTAATATGTGTAGATTTCATTGATTATTTGGATGTCGGAGAATTAGTGTATATAACCAAACAAACCACTGACATCAAGTCATCAAGAAAATAATCTTTCCAACTATCAAACGTAATTAACAATGAATTAATCAATTCAGCAGTTGATCCAACCATCAATATATCCAGCAGTCAATCAATCTACCAGTGAGCCACACACTATGTCAATCAGTCTATATATAACCCCCTACATATACATGACATTATCAACACATTACAGCAATTACAATGGTAAATCCGTTACATATCTCTAGTTTAAATAAAATCTGGTATGGATTCGCAGTGCAAAAACATAGTCAGCTAGTTGACACCCTAACCATCATACAAGGCGTCACTTATCAACAACAACACCTCAAACACACAGACAAACACAAGCAACGATCGAACCTTGTTTATTCTTGTATCGTTCTTTTTATTTGGCTCCACCATGACTTCCCTGGCATATACTTTACGTTGAAAACACAGTGGCATTTTCCTATCAATGTCAGTGATGAGTTCGACCTATTACGATATAGTAATAAAAATTACAAACAATCTCATAATTATATTGCACAGCATGCAAGAATGGAAAAATGAATGACGTCAGCTGCTGACAATTGGGCAATTCATTTTTTTGTTGTGTCCCCCTAAGTCTCAAGTTAATCTTGAAAACCGGTAATTAGTAACTATACTGACCTGCATAGCGAGACGTCTCAGAAAAGCCCCTTTTTGTACACCCTCAATGTCGCCAACCGAGATACCGATCTAAAACAGAAACATGTTTATTTTAATAATATTGTCAGCTAGTTTCACAATAACGGCGGTTGAACTGATTACATGCGGTGATGTAATGTTTCGGTATTTCTCAAAACACAAGAAAACGAATGATGTTCTCAAATTACTCAAATATTGACAATTTCTAAATTCAGATAGCCGACAGGTAAAAGTACATATCATTGGAGAGAAAGAGGTAGAAGAACGGGTCTAGTGTAACATACCATAAGATTTATCAACACAATTGGCATAAGGAACAGAAAGATGACGAATACAATGCGACTGCTTGCTTCAAACGGTTCCAGAGAAGTATCAGTGTGAAATATGTCTGCGTAGTCAAATTCTCCAATGGTCATCACAAACGTCTTAATCAAAGCGCCACCTAGAGTGTTGAACTGTTCCTACAGCGAGGGAAAATAAATCATAACTATCATACCCATAGTGATTTGGGTTATCAATCAAAATATCGCTGTGGCCATCAATCGTGAGTCATTGTGGTTTTCAATCATCACGTCACTGTGATTTTCAATCATGACGTCACTGTGGCTACCAACAAGTTCAATACTATCATGAAAGCCTTCAGACTATAGCAAAGGTACATCCTATTAAGCGTGAATCTTAGCTTTATTTCCTATACTGCGATATCGTGCAAATCAGTTATAAACATGGGTTCTCATGTTATAATGCAAAACAATGACTAACAAATATGCTGAATAAGCGCGTGTGCATTATAACTGGTTATTCCTGCTCTCCTGGAGCCATAAATATTGCATTTCCTTTAGTGGTACGTGTATTAATATTCAGTAGTGTGTGCGTTAATGCGAAGGAATTTGCACTTACCAAACGAGCTAACATTATAAAGAATGCTGAACCAAAGGCAACAATAAACCACGCATACACAATTATAGCCTGTGAGAAAGAAAATGTAAATTATGTTTATGTTGATTTATGTTAATGACACACCACCGAGGCATTTATGAACATTAATAGATGCGTTTACAGCATTATGCAGTTGTCTCGAAATATCACGACATAAACAATCCTGAGAGCATATAATGTTCTCAGAACATTGAGTATGCATTTCTTACCTTCATCAATGAACTTAGCACAGCAACAAACATGACAACATAGATTCCTATTTGATCAAATCTGAAAGACACGTGTATATAAGCGATTAATGCATCGCAACTATAACCCCGGGACGAATCTTAATGCCTCGCTACTCTATTACCCTTGGACAAGTAGAAATTATCGCTACTCACATAACCCTTGGACAAATCTAAATGCATCGCTACTCACATAACCCTGGGAAAAATCTAAATGCATTGCTAATCACATAACCCTGGGACAAATCTAAATGCATCGCTACTCACATAACCCTGGGAAAAATCTAAATAGGTAAACAGTTAATCGATTTTACTAGCATGTTGACAGTCATTCATTGTATATTAAAAAACAGACGGACTATGATGCATGTATCGTTTATACCCACCTCTGTAAGTACAATAGGAAGATAATCCAAGCAAGAAATATGCCTAAAGCACCATTAATCCAACTAACGGCACACGGTGCAGAGAATGGTGGTATGACGAATGCGCAAGAGGTAAACATCATAATCCAATGGATAAGGTTAGAGAACTTGGTGCAATAACGAAGCCTCTGGAAAAAAAACGAGTCAAAGCAAAAATACAGTAACAGAGCTTTATGATAGAACACATCGCTTATCGGCTGCAATTACATTTCACAAAATAATTCACAGATTCAGTTTATGATTAAAATTAAATATATATATACATATAAATTACCAAATTCTACGTAATAAAAGTATGAGCACACACAAATTAAAAATCCAATGTACACACTGTACCTGCGAATACATGTCTACTGTTGCCTTCAACACGTTCAGTAAGACAAAACCAATGACAGCAAACTCTATACAGGAAAGAAGTACACCATGCTGCCGTTTCATGGATGAAATCTGTGAATAAAATTCTCAATATATTAATATATTCATCCCATATGTCTATTTGCACGTGTCTGAAGGTGTCATCCATAAATTTCTACATTGCTGTTGTCGACGATTATCGATGCTGGTCAACTGTTGCTGTACAAAATCGGACCGCGTGTCTTCTGAGTTGTTTTGTAAAAAAGAAAGTTCATACCAGCGGGAAAATAGTGATCGCTATATTTCCATAGCAGAATGTGATGGTGCATCCAGGCGCTTCACGCACTCATTTTCAGATAGTTTGGAGGAAAACATCACGCAATATGAGCTAGTTTAAGGGCGAAGAAATCAAACAGCAATAAACCCGTCATATTAATTTTTGACCCTTCAATACACGCATACAAGTAGGGTAATTTGTAGCGCCCTCACATGAATATTGTATCGACAATAGTGGTCGGTAATTGTGGAGAGATTTGCCAAACAAGGTACAAGTAATCTGCTAAGACCATGGTTTGAGTATTCACTATGTCACTTAATTTGCATTAAATCACGATTGCTGCATTTTAAAACAGAGTCCATGAAGCATACATACAAGCAATTTACATATTGTACTATAAGCCATACGTTTAGCAATATTTTGCAAATAGACCATTTTCCGTACATTGCGAGAATCACGCGTTATGCGTGAAATCGAACGTAAAAACAGGACAAACAAAGGTCATAGCGTCGTAGTGGCGTCAAACATCGCGTGGGATTCGACAAACGCGAAAGTATTTTGGGGACATTTCCATGCTTAATAATGTGCTGTCCACATTTGATGATACGCAATTTCGATTAAGTATGGGTATTCGGAAGCAATATTCTTCTGTCGAAGATTGGCCGGTCGGTGTGAGCTACGAAATAAGGAAATTCGAGTTCAAAATCAAATCGTTCGATTTTTGCGTCAGACGTTCGACGGGCGTCTTTCATGCATCTCGCGTGATTCTCGCAGTGTACGGAAAATCACCTATTTCTATGCATTTTATTTCAATGTCTTTGTTGAGTTTGGCGCACGGACACAAAGAACACAGTTTCTCACTACCTAAAATCTGCACAATTTTGAATAAACATAGCGTAACTTATTACAAATTTGCCTGTTAAGAATCTACATATCCAGAATTGATACACATTTCCTTGCATTTCATACACAAAGTATTTGAGTTCCTAAATCAGTAATACAGTAAAAACTCCATAATTGTGTGGAGAACTTTTAGAACATTTTTCTTGGACTCATGGCCACTAGATTAGAACAAACACTGCTGAGGACAATATTGGACGCCGTAGACGACAGCGTAACATCGACCACCAAGACTGACATTTTTCCTTTTGATACCATTTCCTTCATCTATAATTCTGACCAACTAAAATTAAAACACTTATGCAGATTTAATTCGTGAAATGTAACAAATGTTGACATGTTGAGGACGACAATGACAACATAAATCTGTCCTACCTATAGGTTGAGTATAATTGAGTTAAACAGATGACATTACCGATACGTTTCCTATGACGGAGCACCCATATTCGTCAAGGTTACTGGTCAATATGGGAGCACTGATGGCAGCATATGACGTCAGACCGACCATAAACACCACGTGTATGAGAAATTTTGTGTAGAAAAAATAACGAACAAACGAAGTCCTAGAATATGAATGAAAAAACTTAAATTGGTATGAAGATACAATAATAAATCATCCAGGCCATCTGTCAAATGTGTTATATTATAATTCAGAAAATGCATCTTCATCTTGAGTCACGTGACGGCAAGAATGTATTCAGTATACATACCATTTGAGCGCCATCAGTGTCTGACAGAGTTCGTGACTGAGAAGCTGCTCTCTTCCATGTTTAACCATAGTCTAAAAATAAGAGCTCACATAAATAACTTCCAAAAATGTAATTTTCAACACCCTTTCCGATCGATTGGAATTCTAGCAATGGGAATCATCAACTACGCAATACAAAAATATATCTAAAAATTATTATGTTTCACTGTAAGTTAACTTTATGTGATATATGTTAATATGTATACACTTTTCACCAATCCGAACATGATTTCTTATTATTTACAATAAGTAATTTATAATATCCCGATGCCTGAAAGTCTGATTGAATTACTGCATTTTGTTCATTATTAAAATCGTACGATTGCAGCTAATACCCATTCAGTATTCTAAGGTAAACACCTTGCAGCAATGCTTCATACTCACCGTTAGTGCAAAGTACCTCTCGTTTGATCCCATCAACATATCATCGGGCCCAGGATCTAAGAATTCATAGTTGTATGTTACCTAAATTCATAAACGATAATTACACCACATATATTAATATTAATAATATTAATCGAGACAAAGTATAATACAAATAAGTATAATAGTAGAAATATCTGAAATACATGCCCTCAAGTTCGGATCTTCGTGGTCAATATGTGAATGGTGCACGCATCTATCCATTGCCAACAGCGCCACCTTCGGTAACTTTTCTATCAAACGTCTCATCGGTGTGTATCCTTTTCTGTCGCGATGTTTAAAAGCCATTCGCCAACTGTCATGGGAAATATACACACATACACTGAATGTATTATATTAAGCCAACAACAAGATATATTTCTGGTTTTGAGATATTCAACAAATGATACAAACCCATCTACGTCATTTCTATTCTCACTTCGTCGCTGAAAGGTAACGGTCGTCGCGTCACGGTCGTGTTCCGTTCGATATGGAGCTCATAGCGACGTATACAAAGAGTGTAAAACACATTTTAATCGTACACGCGCTGCGTGACGACCACCGAACACCATTTTGTTCAACTGTGGGAACATGATTTGTCATGTCCAACATACAAAACTAACTTTCAAGTTCAACAAAAGTTTGTTGTTTATATGAGATATGAGAAATATCTGAAGAAATATTTACTTTTTGTTGTTGATGATTGCAGATGATGTCCCGTCTTGCAAGTTCTCGATAGCAGCATCCAAACAGTTCTGACCAGCATTATTCAGAATGCTCACGTCAGCTCCTTTGTTTAAAAGCAATTCTGTTGCTTCAACGTGACCATTCGCGCAGCTCAGATGGAGAGGTGTGTTCTAAATATAACAAACAAACAAACAAACAAATATAGAAAAATACTTAAAGCGGGAGGGTCGTCACCTGCGCACGCGCGGGTCCCAGGAGACGATAACAACATACGCTAAAAACGCAAAGGCTCATGGGTAGACGCTTGTTTGTAAACAATGACACGCTATGGCCATCTGACGCATGCGCACATGAAGACTCCCCCGCTTTAATTATTGACATTGAATAAGTATAATTGCCTAAATATTATGTTATACACGCGAAATGTATGAGTATGAGTTTAAATAGAATGTATCACTTAGTAGAGCAAAGTTGTTTATCGCCCAGTTCGCTGCTTTCAACTAAATTGAATCGTTCGAGTTTGTTGAATACATTTTCTCTGCATGCCATTGGTGGCGCTGTTGTGAACAAGTTGAACATATCATGTGCGTATTTACCTTATTTTTGTCGATGGCGTCAATTTCAGCATGGTTGTCAATCAGAATTACCATAGTGTCAAGATGTCCTCTACTGCTAGCCAATGCTAATGCTGACCAGTGGATGTCGTCTCTGCAACGTAAAATTCAATTTAATATCACTTAGTCTCGAACTTTCCTTTCTCATATACCGTACTTCCCCGAGCATAAGCCCCTCCCTGAGTATAAGCCCACCCCTCTGTTTTTAGACATTTAACAAGTTGAGGGCATCCTCAAGTATAGGCTCAGGGTGTTTTTACTGGGAGTCGACGACATTTATTAAAATATGCATGTAAAAAGTGTATTTCATAGCATAATAATCGTGATTGGTACGGTAGTTTGGTTCCTGCTTTTACAAGAAAACTCGCTTTAATTTCAGAGTGCATGGCCGGCGGACGTATAAATTTTTACACGTTAAACCTCACGGAATTTGCGCCCTCTATTGTCCTCTGTGTAATTACCTGCTCGTTATTTCGGCTCCCAGATACAATAAACATTTCACCACGCGGCAGTGTCCTTCCAAACTAGCCAAGAGTAAGGGCGTTCTGCCTTCTACGTCATCTTCGTTAATTTGCATGGAATTAGCCTCTATCAAAATTTGTACGCACTGAAGACGACCATACCTAACAAAGAATCAATGTCCCCCATGGTTATCTGTCTAGTCATAGATGGGGTGATTTTTATAATGTTTATAGTTGTGTGCAGCTAGGCCTCACCATGCCAACATGTAAATGTTTTTTCCTCAATAAAGTATATCACCCCTAATCCATCAGCTATGACCTCAATTATATTCAGAATCCACACATTTTAATGTCGCCTTATTCATTTAAATAAGTTTCGTACTTGCCATTTTTACGTGAAATTATTTTCCTCTCGAAATATTTTCAGACTAATTGTGAATAATACAATTATAACAATGAAAACAGCATACTCTTTGCATTTCACACCATTAGTGTACGTGTATACATTGTACCAGTATCTTAGCTGACTATGAAGAGCAAGAAAGCAGAGTACATATGCTGGCACATAAAGTAATTGATAATTCATATAAAGTATGAAGTGTGAACATGATAACTACGACTTACTGTGCTGCCAGATGAAGAGGTGTCTTCTCGTCTCGATCTTTAGGGTCAATCTTGGCACCATAGTCAAGGAACAGCTTCATAATCTAGATAACAGAATGCATACTGTCAGGTATCAGATCTTGAAAACTGTCTACAATTGTTATAATGATATTCTTGTATACATGTTACCTGATGGAAGCCCAATTCAGCTGCATAGTGCATCGGTGTCTGGTCATTCTTGTCTTTCAGGTCCAGCAGGCTGTCGCCGCCGCTTAACAAGATTGTAAGAGTAAATTCCAGATGTCCACAACCTACAGCCCAATGTAGACAACTTTTCATCTCCGTATCAACAGATGATATCTTAGCACCATGCTGAATGAGAGCAGTCGCAGCAAGTGTTTGCCCCTTCCATGCAGCGCAGATTAGGGGTGTGAAATTATCCGCATCTTTGGCGTCAACTGAGGCCCCCTAGTTGTAGATGAAATATACATAAATAAATACAAACAAACATGTTTTTCAATTTCACATTTATTTAAATTAAATCAATGCATCTGTAAATCTTCACATGTTCTCTCAACAGGAACATGCAGCGCCATCGGTTCATATTCAATCATTTTAGACACAATCCCAGAATAGACGTGAATAAATGCTTACCCGACTGATAAGGTAATTCACCATGTCAACTCGACCGTACATTGCCGCCCTGAGAAGAATGTAGATATTGGGTAATAAAGTAAACATTATACTCGTCACAACACTTGTTTAGTTATTCGTAATTTCTTGAACCAATCAACAACTAGCCACAACTGAACTGATTCTCTAAATGATCATTCAGTGACTGATTCACTAACTGATTCACTAACTGATTCACTAACTGATTTACTTACTGACTGGTTCACTTACCAATTCCCTATCTGATTCACTGGCTGATTCACTAATTAATTTACTGATTGATTTACTAACATATTCTCTGTCTAGCTAGTTCAAACCGATTCTCCAAATGATGCTCTTACCGATTCTCTATAACCGACCGAATAACTGACTAACAGACTGGTTCAATTACTGATTCACTGACAGATGCTCAAACTGGTTGACTGACTAGTTCTAACTTATTCCTTGACTGAATCAATATACGATTCTGATTCACTTACCAGATTCACTGACTGATTTTAACTGGTTCCTTAAATAATTTACTAACCAGAATAAAAAATCGTCAATGAAAGTTTCGAAAAATTGCTTTTTCTACCCTATCATTAATCAGATCATTATTACCTGTGTAACGGAGTCATTTGCTCCACATCACGTATTACCTGTGTAACGAAGTCATTTGCTCCACATCACGTATTACCTGTGAAACGGAGTCATTTGCTCCACATCACGTATTACCTGTGTAACGGAGTCATTTGTTCCACATCACGTATTACCTGTGTAACGGAGTCATTTGCTCCACATCACGTATTACCTGTGTAACGGAGTCATTTGTTCCACATCACGGGCATTAATACTGCTTCCACGGTTTATTAATAGTTTTGCCATCGGTACAATCCCACCAACTGCAGCAATGTGAAGAGGCGTGAAGAGATTGCATTTACGAATATCAACAAATGCCTTATGATCCAAACAAAGTTCTGTCGCCTAATGGAAAAATATAAGAAGTTGAACTCTATCATTGTGCAATTACAACTCATCCAACTGAATAAAAAATGTATCATATATTGATGATGTACGATTAGAACTATCACGTGACATCCATACCCTGAAATCATTGGTCCAAGGAAAGCAGAGCAAAAAACAACAACAACATTCCATTTATTGGTTCTCAGTTTTTGCTTGTTATTATTTAGATATGAAGTATGAGCTCAAGAAATGGGCTTGAATAATTTCTTTGAACTGATGTATTCATTCTGAAGGAGGGATCGCAACACAAACATCCCGTTGAGGGCGCTGCAGTTCCATCCTGTGAATTCTGGTATTAAGCATATCGAACCGTCGTGTGAGACAGGTTAGTTTGGCCCAACTGACACCATGATTAGACCACACAGACACTCCTATACAAACCCTTACCTCAATACTTCCATTGGCGACAGCAAGATGAAGCGTGGAATTTCCTTCATTGTCAGCATCTGCTATGTAGTCCGTCAATGATATTCTCTTAATGGTTGCTGTATAATGATACGATAGTTATATGAGAATGACGGGGACGAGGTTTGAATGATGGTAGAAGTGGCGGTGAATGTTATTGGGGAGGGGGGGGGATGTACCAAATTAATATATTGTAATCTGCATATATACATTACCTGTGTCAATAAGAAGTTTCATGATATTGACATGACCGCCTGTAGCTGCCAGCATCAATGGCGTGATATCGTTGATTTCTTTGGCTCGTATATTTGCACCGCTGTCAACCTGAGAAGGCAATACTGAATTTAATTTTTGAAATAAAACATGTCATACCGTGTTTTGGTCCAGTCATGTGAATCAGTAAAATTGTTCTCGCAATCTATTTGCACTACTTAGTTTCCCATAGTCGGTACTACTACGTTTGGGGTAATTTTGTCAGAACAAGTTGAAAATATTGTTTCAACTCGCCGAAGCCACATATGTGTAATAACATTATCACCAGAAACACGCAATATATTATATTCGGCTCAGGCTCAGACAAAATGGATGGAAATAAACGAGAATTTCCGGAAAGCAACGCATAAGTTTCAAGTTGACAGCTGTTTGTACATAAGTGAAGTGATCCCGCCTACATCGCGTTTAGAGACAGAAAAAGCACGACACATTCCATTGATTGATTGATTTGATTTGATGGGGCCTTATGTGGAGTTGGTGTCCGTTTTACAACCTAATTGATGTCTCAAGTCAACTCCATGACGTCACTGTTAGGCTGCCTTTAAATAGACCAAACTGACACCCCAGGTGCCATTGCTTTCTAGTGTTGTAACTCATCATGATTATAATTGATACAATGTGTATATAATAAATCACTAATAGCTCAATCTGAAACGCTCTTAACTTTTAATGTTTCTAAGATTAATAAAACATTGTACTGTGCAAAGATGAGATAGGATGGATGAGGCTATATATTCAGGTCTTGTCAACAATTCGCAGATGATTTTATAACAGTAACTTCAATGAAATCTCATTTTGTCATTTAAAACTCAACTAATATATCGTAATTTGCACATAATTTTTGACATATTGCGATATTTGCTTGTCGTGGGAAACAATGCTCTAAGTAAATGTACTAAAACAGATCAAACATTGGAGATCTATTTTGTTCGAAAATGATGACTTATTTAGAAAAATCTAGAAACACCTTTCAAAACTTGTCTGTTTGTTTAGATTCGGGCCAGATTCAAGATGGCTACCGTTATATCGCAGTGTAGCAAATATTGGTAAATTAATCGCATTTATTTAGTATCAACTGTACGCAAACTGACTGTGGTTATTGAAAGTTTCTAGAAATCAATTTGATAGTAGCATGTAACAATGATTGCTGTAGAATGATAGTTTCGTTTTTCCCTTGTAGTCGCATGTCATTTTGTTTGTGGTTTATATATCAGGGATGTGTTCATGCTGTTATACTTTCAATACGAAGTGTGCATAACATTGAAATAAATTTCACAACGAAACTAACTGACTTCGTTCTGTTTCTTCAAAGTAAGTCGGTGTGTAGCAATACTGTATACCCGATATGATTGCACAAGGAAATTGAACTGTGGTAAGTCCGACATTTTTTATTGTGCGTAAATGATAAATGGTTGCCATGGCATTTTGATCTACTTATCAATCAAGAAAACAAAAACTGACCGACACAGCCTTTAAATATTTCGCTGTTTTTATATTAAGTTTACTCTCATTTGTCCATTATTTCGAGTAGTATTTGTAGATCGGCCCACGTTGTTTGTGGCTGTAAACATCAACTGAAAAGACCGCATTGATCTAATGTTTGAGTATTGCAATCACACAGACTTATGAGTAAATTAGACTAACATAACTAAACCCCCCTTTGTGACACGTTCTACTTCGTATGACTATCTCGAATACATGTATAACACACACGTTGACTTTAATAACAGACACATATACATATCATTAATTGGATGATTTTCCATAGTGGCATGCGTGGCCACCCAGGATGTGACTCTCACATGTTTAACACATCATATTTGATCACAAAGCGAGTGTTGCATACTTACTGTTCACACATCGTATTAGTGTATTACCCTGACATCAGTTTATTTTGTTTCGGTAATTTAATAAGTAACTTATGTTACTTTGTTGTATCTAATATATCGACGTGCATGCTGGGAAATCATCTGTGTTCTACTCACCAGAAGGCGGCACACACCAACGTTTCCATGGATAGCTGCCTGGTGAAGAGGCGTTAACTTGTCTGCATCTAGAGCGTTCGAGTCAGCTCTCCCCCTCTTCAGCAAAATCTATGAAAACAAATAACACATATAATGATAATCATTTGAAAGGGTATTTTAACTTCTGTAAAACCATTTTACGTTTTGAGCAATTTCAATCGGTTTATAATTCATGACCTTAGCAGGGAAACGCTGTGTTATATTGTATTTTTCGTGTTTACTTATCAGTGAAAATAGCGAATTCAAAAATCTATAAATAATTAATGCGTTTACAGTACTGTGCTAATTTATTTACTTTAGGGATGAGTGGTATTTAAGTAATCGAACTTGCGAGGATATCATCGAATTGTATCATCAAATCTTGCGACGATATCATCGAATTCGAGTTGTATCATCAAATCTGGTGACGGTATCACCGCATTCTATCGTCAAATCTTGCGACAATGTCATTGAATTCTATAATCAAATCTTGCGACGATATCATCGAATTCTATCATCAAATCTTGCGACGATATCATTGAATTCTATCACCAAATCTTGCGACGATATCATCGAATTCGAGTTGTATCATCAAATCTGGTGACGATATCACCGCATTCTATCATCAAATCTTGCGAGGATATCATCGAATTGTATCATCAAACCTTGCGACGATATCATCGAATTCGAGTTGTATCATCAAATCTGGTGACGATATCACCGCATTCTATCATCAAATCTTGCGACGATATCATTAAATTCCATCATCAAATCCTGCGGCGATATCAGTGAAATAGGGTTCATGTGATTCATACATTGTGTCAAATTCGAAAAAATGGCATATAACTATTTCAACGTATTTTACGGTATGTTTTTCGGCGATTAAAAAGTTTTAAAGTTTTATTTAATGAACCAGGGGATGGATAGTCAAGGATTCAACATCCATTCAGTTGTCACAATATTTTCAAATCATCTCAATAATACGCCTAAATAATAATTGATCATTAACATAAACCTTTGTTTTACCTACCCTAACTATGTCTTCGTACCCTCTCCTTGCGGCCATGTGAAGTGGCGTCAGTCCTTTCCTATCACGAGCCGTTGTATCCGCGCTGTATTTGAGTAACAGTTTTACTGTCACTACTCGGCGGTACTTTACAGCCAAATGCAGCGGTGTGGAGTCGTCTTCCTCTGCTCGGATGTTGACATCTTTCAACGTCAAGTATGTTTAAAACGGTATATTATAACATGAACGTAATATTAGTGCAATCGATGGTAAAGAAAAAAACATTCAAATTTTGATAAAAAACTGATAGATTTCGAATAAAAAGTTGTGATTTATTATGGTTGTTTAAGTTATACACATACGTGATTAGGTTAGAGCGGGTGTTAAATCGTCGTTGCATGTTATATACACTATATGGCGCCATCCCTAAATCATGTACGCACATACGGATTATCTACCGAAAACATACTTACTGGCCCCTCTCATGATGAGGATTTCGACCACGTCTGTCCTATCGTAGTGCGCAGCATGGTGCAACGGTGCCAAACCATCTTCATCTAGACTGTTCAGTTCTGCTATAGTCCTGTTCTCGTTTTGAAATATCTCGACGCGTCCCTCTCTCGCCGCCTGTAAATTTGAGTTGGCAGTGAGTGAAGAAAGCGACATTGCAGTCTCTAGTGTGTTATTATGATAGTATGTTTGCTCTTCTTGATGGATGAAAGCGCGTGTCACGTCATGTCGCTGAGGTGAAGGTTTATTATGGATGATGACAGTGCAAATGTCCGGCCGATGAACATGGGGGTAAAAAAAGCATTTAAATGTCATTACTGGGTGCCTGGCATTCCACAAAAGGTGATAAGATAACACTTTCGCGAATAAGCCATAATAATCAACGATCGATCACAAGTCGCTTGACAGTTTGCGAGTATCTCTTTCTCTTGTGATCTGACGCGAGAGAAATTTTTAGAACAGCAAATATGGTCATGTGATTGGATATGTTTTATACATCGATATATCCTGGTAACTGGATAGCCTTTAGAATAATATCGCTGTATATGATGGAGGTGCTGTAAAAATTATATTCACAATTTGCGAAACTGTTTATAATATTTAGATGAAGCATGCGAGGTGTTTTCGAATGATGCGTGTAACACTGATCGACAATTACAAAATAGACCTATGTATATCCACGGAGTGTTTATAATGGATGCGGATACGTCGCGGAAAGTTAGGTTATCATTTCATGACAAACAAAAGTAGTTCCATGCACTCCGAGAAATGATAAAATAATAAAAAATAAGAATTGACATTGATCATTATCCGTCAAATGTGCTGTCTTTCTTAAAAAGCAGAACTGAGGGAAGACAGGGGATCTGAACGTGTTGTTTGTCTGAGATGATAGCCTTCATCGTGTTGATTTATGTCTGCATATTCGGAGGCCACACATATATCAGACATCTCACGATGCCAGATGACTTTAACCAGTGTCGCTTGTTATTTGTGAGAACGGAATGCAATCCGTACGATCTATTTTAGAATGTCTGTATAGAATGAAAGGTCAATATGGACAACATGATTTGTGTTGTTTTTTAAGAGTTTATATACGCTCTAGATGGTTTACGATATATAGTTATAATACTATGCATTAGTGGTACGTACTATGTTATATAGCGCATGCGCCATGGCGAATTAATTGCGTCATCAAAGAGCGCTTTCATTTAATTTACGATAAATCATTCATCCATTTGTGTTCACCAAAACGCTATATGGAAAGAAACACCGGGCAATATATTAAAATTATCCATCTTTATAATTTAGTAATTGTTATTATTATACATCTGTCACCGTAACGCCATAAGTTACACCGTGCCGTAATTTTGCGGTATTTTACGGGTTATTTTCATCTAGTACCATATTAGGAAATGCGTATTCCAAATATGGAATGATTACGCGCGTAACACCAGGGTTTGACCGGACTCCACACAAAGAAGCGGTTCGCTAATTCCGTACTAAAGTTTTTGGATATCGGCATTCCCATGATGCACCCTTGAAAGGAAAAGGTGTATAATAATAAGGTTATTACGAGAATACTTCAAAGTATGCACTCAGACAGTACTCCGCGCAACGACCGACGCGCAGATACTCCTGCTGTACTGTCTTCGTGCATACTTTGATGTATCCTCGTATTAACCTCATATTATGTTACCATAATCATACAAAATACCGTTTGATACATGGGATTCTACAACGTTTTACAGTTGCATTTTAAAAGCAATAACCAAAAACAGTAAACATGACACTTAATAATATAGAAATGTTACCGTACACATTAGTCCGTACATTGGTTGTATACTTATAACGAGTGTATGTTGTTATAGAAAGGCGTGAATTCTTTTAAGGTATAAATGTAGGTTCGTTGACTCTTGGGAGTGAATTTTCTTTTTTTTTTTGCTTTGTATTATCCAAACAGAATTGGCTATAGACTGTTGAAATTTCGCAGCATTATGAATAGTGGAACATACTCAAAAATTTCACTCCGAGTGCCCACAAACCTGCATCTATACCTTAAATGGTAATAATATTGTATTAGCTACATCTATTTTATAATTAAATACGGCCTCTGAACTATCTGTGCGTATGTTTAGCCTGTTTTGTTTAAACTAATATTATTGTATTAGTTGTCTGAGGTTTAAAGGGCGGTAGTCGTCGCGCCACGCATGCGCGAGATATATGGGTCTCATATAAACAAAGATGGCGACTTCGACTGTTGCGCAGATCAACGAGTACAAACTGAGACGTTACCAAGCTTTAATTAGATATTTTTGTAGGTGATTGGAAGGTATCGATGGAGCCACGAGTGGTAATTAGTTCAAGTCGCGCCCAGGTCAAACCTCATATTTGTGATTCTATTAGAAGAGCGCATTGGATTGTGGGAAATCAATGTTTATCAACACAAATGTCGCACATGCGCAGCGCGACGAGCACCGCCCTTTAAGCATTTATTATACCGTTGATATTACGTTTGTCTAATTATCTAGCCGATTATGTTATTGCTGAAACGCACTTATATTATAAAGGAGTTTAGCATCTAGGCTGTTCAAACTTTTTTGCAAATGTATTTCGTCATTGGATGCTGAAATGTTTTGACCCTGGCATAATACACACTCGTCAAACATTACGTGAACATAAATGTAGTTGGTATTGCTGACTATTTATATTCACAACTTCGCTTTCGCAATGATGAAACTTATCGCCAAGGAACCCGAAGGCGAGGTTTGGAGCGTAAATGCAGCCGCAATGGCCACTGGCCACTGTTTACAGTGTCTGCGAACTATCGTAGTATCGGCTGCATTATGCGTCACTAAACCCCCAGTCACGTGACAAAGCCCGTATTACGGCGGCCATATGTCGCTTTCTAGAAAGAATTCGCGTTCCTATAAGGTCAATAAGAGTTCAACTTTGCATACAACATCATTTTTTTCATGTAGGAAACTGAATTACTAAGACTAAGTAGTTTGAACTGCAGTTCGTTCTGATGGTTTCCCGAACAACACTTTCCAATATAAAATGTGTACTGTCATGTTACATATAGTATTTAGGAGTGGCAAGAAACGGGAAATTTAAGAATTTCGAAATAATTAGCGTTTGTGGATAGAATTCCCAGACACGATACGACAGTGATTTAAATTATTTAGTACGTCCATTGTCCAATTCAACTTCACCATTCACACTATTAAAAGTATTACGTCAATATCCTACCTGTGATATGTTCACTAAGCCAAGTAACACGTCGTCGTTGAAGAAGTGACCAGTGAAATTTGGATACGGATGTTTCAAATGGTGAAGAAATATTTCGCCACTGGCCGTGGTGTTTGCGCTGATCCGTTTAGCCGACGTCGTGGAGTCTCTCAGTGTTGCCGATCGGCTAGAACTTTTCTTTCGATTCCTGCGATCTGACTGTGATTTCTTTGAGCGAATGGTGGTGATGAAGCCAGCCGTTCGCATAGTAAGAGTTCGATGGAGCCCGGTAGGCATTTTGAACAGAATCGTGGTCACAATTCACCAACTAGAAAAACAAACTACCTCGTACCTGCTACTAAATGTGATAACTTATCACCAAAGAACTGACTGCGTCTAGTAATCTGATAGGGTAAATGGTGTACGAGATGTAATGACTTCAGGACGTGTTTACGCAGTGCAAAATGTTTATTTTAATGACATATTTGTCAAATATAGAGAGAGTATCGTAACACAACTCACACAGTTAAAGTATGTGGTATTGTTTGGACTCGAAGACGACAATGTGCGATAATTTGATGGCCGTAGTACTGACGTAACAATGCTTAATAACAGATGTAAAGCTGATTGGTTGTCCATGGCACTGCACACTGATCACATCAACAGACGTGAATTGCCAGCGAGTCTAGCATTACGATGAGACTGAACATAGCAATGACCTTATGGTCCTGACATGGCTGGGTGACCAGGTCAATGCTGAATTATATTTTATATATTAAACATAAATTACTTTTAGCGCCAGTATGTCTACGTAAGAACTTCAAATATGTAGTGCCAGTGACAGGTATAGATGTCTTTATAAACGCTAGTGTCGATTTCAAGAATCTCGAATGTATTCATACTAAGGTTATAATGTTTGTTTTTCATTCACGCTGTGTTCGCTAAATCTTCAACCACGGCGGCTTCCTATATTATGTTTGATTGACGGTCATTTTTTTTTCTAAAATTCCATTCAGGATCACACAATGTAGAATTACCATTTCTATATTGATTTACACTTATTTGGTAAATTATTACATGTACTTGTTATCGTAATTTGTGCTGAACAGAAAGACAACCACAATGGACTGATACGATCAGGTGCTCTCGTGGAAGTTAGTGCTAAGTATGTATTGTTACAGTCTTGTCGTGCCACACTGGTATAGTTTGCAAATTAACTGACAAATTAACTTCTCCAACTTTACAAATTGTGTGATATGCGGCGTCCATTCCATCCCATGGTTTCCGTTAGCAAATTCATTCTCAGACCGCTGATCACGTTAGTGCATTTGTTCGATATTCATGGCAAAACACGTCTATGTCAGGTTCCTAGACTGACTTGGAATTAATGAACGCCGACAATATGCCCATGATTTAGTGGTCTGAAGTTTAGGTGGCAGGGGTCTGACATGAACGTAATTCTTTTTCTAGATTTTAACCATCATGGTTTTGAATGTTTTAATAGTTTAGTTGGGATAAAAATTAATACTGGGCTGGGGGTAATTTGTAACAATAATAAGTGTGCAACCAGTACCTATACAGGGCACATGGGTGTTTTGAACATATTGTGTTCAACAAATTTCATGTTTTTCAATGTTTAGTACATATTGTGTTCAACAAATTTCATGTTTTCAGTGTTTAGTACATATTGTGTTCAATAAATTTAATGTTTTTTGGTGTTTAGCACATATTGTGTTCAACAAATGTTCATGTTTTTCAGTGTTTAATACATATTGTGTTCAACAAATTTCATGTTTGTCAGTGTTTAGTACATATTGTGTTCAACACTTTCCATGTTTTTCAGTGTTTAGTACAATTGTGTTCAATAAATTTTATGTTTTTGGGTGTTTAGCACATATTGTGTTCAACAAATTGTCATGTTTTTCAGTGTTTAGTACATATTATGTTCAACAAATTTCATGTTTTTCAGTGTTTAGTACATATTGTGTTCAACAAATTTCATGTTTTTCAGTGCTTAGTACATATTATGTTCAACGAATTGTCATGTTTTTCAGTATCCCTGGAACACATTAGATATACAGTATAACTGACTTTGTCTGCAGTTTGACTGAGTGTACAAATAGTTCAGATCCGCTATTTTTTGACATCATCATAGTAGGTACAATACAGTTCTTTTCCAAGTATAGTGAATACAATAAGAAAAAAACGTGTGGTTGTCTGACCAGCCATCAGTTGGATGTCCAGTAATTAAGCGCTCCGCCCGAAGTAAAATGATTACTTAAATTCGGCGTCAACAATAAATTTCAGTGCATGACAATAACAATGGCAAAACCAAGTGATTACGCACCTTACAAAGTTTGCAAATGTCATATAAAAGCATAAGAATTGTGTTTTGAAAATAAAGTCAGTTATAGTGGCATGCACTGTTCCGGACTTTCGTAAAACATCATGAGGACTAACTTGAATGAATTTTCAACTGATAATCTTGTCGTCAAGGCTGTTCCATGGAGCTCAATTTCTTATTGACGTTTTCTTAAAGTTCGTGGGTAATGCATGGCGTCGTTTATGGTGCTTTATAACGTGACCTTAACTCTTGTTTTTGCCTGTCGTAGTTTTCGATTGAATCTAGTCTTTGGTCGTTTCTATTTGCCATTTACTGCAACCCATCACTCCCGAATATGAATATTTACGTCAAGCTCCAATCGCTCCCCATAACATAAACACACGACTTGCTTTCATTCTTGAGCTCGACTAATGATCATTTCTTGATATGAATATTGTATTTCAATTTTGATACACCATAATTATACGCTATATTTTGGCATATTTTGAGTGTTGTTCAATTATTCAGAAAATGTTTTTTACAATGTCTGACAAACTGATTTTTTGATGTACTTTATATGTATTTTATTATTCACTTTCATGTATATGATTAATTGTTTCCTGAATTATTGTAGAACCTTTTTCATGTACTAAATTTACATTTTATTCCCTATAAAAAAAATGTTTTCGCAATTTTATATGATTAGTATTGATGCATTATCAGTATCGCTAGCTGCGATTAATTACGCATTATCGCAATTATTTTAGCTCTCGTTTTCTCGAAATTAACCATACTTTGTCGCATTTTCTATAAAGAATTCGGCATGATTTATAAGTTCTGTATGTTCTTTACAAATATTTGTTTTGAAATGTACACAATGTATATAAGTTTGACGACCCATTTGCGTACATTTTGAATGGAGTAAGATCGGTGTGAGGTCACTCTAAATTGGAAGTACTATGTCACCATACCACCAGTCTGAGATACATCTAATATATATTCTGTAATTACTTTTTTTTACTTGGAATTTATTTTAACTGAATGAATGAATCAATCAATGAAAATAAAATCAAATAAAAATTGTACAGTATGTAAAACTATCCCTCTGGAGGTGTACGATACAAATTATACTTCATTACTGACACAGGGGGCGTGAGTCATTTTGCACGATTACTCAGGAGGGTGGAGTGATCCTACGGTAACACGATACATCCAACAAAATGTACAGCAAGTCTCGGAAGTATTGGGAATACATTTGCAAACTCGATGTCTATTGGCTAACTGCTTTGATTTTGACTAAACTCTCCGTATATATCGTCAGTCAGTGTTGTGTCGAACGGTGATCTGAAGTCTCATCCCTCGTAAGCCTTAGCTTTTGTCATTGTGCAAATTCATTTTTAGTTCAATACCTTTCTCGATTGAACAGTCATAACAGTTTTCCCTACTTAGAAGCTAACAAAATACAAGGAACAATGACGATGTATAATCACATTGTTGTCAGTGGGGGAAGCACACAAGTTCTAAATAAAAAAAAAAACGCCAAATTTTTTGAGTTTACCTTGTGAATTAAATTGTTTTAGACCCTTATCTAACAATCATTGCAAGCCTTAATTAAGATTCACACTTTGTAAGCGAATGATTTTAGCACGTTTCCTTAAGGTGACAGTGAAATATGAGTTGTGTTCTCTAAACTGTGTGGAAACCCGCAGTAAGCTTGCTACAAACTTCCTACTAGATTGCCACAACTTACAACTGTGAGGGCAGTCTAGTCACACCACAGAACACACCATTTAATTTAATAGTAATCAGATTTGAATTAAAGACACATGAATACGCATATCACAGGATTTATTACTGGGTGTATTTATTATGAAACTGATTGAAGCTTGTACAATAACTGTCGTTTGATATTACACATCAAGCAATGTGTTCCATCTAAGTACGAACGAATATATAGACACGACACTAAACAGATCTCATAATTTAATAATTCTTTTCACATAGCTACATTATACCATATACATATATATATGTATTATACAATATGAAGTTGTATAAAAAAAAAAACAATGGTGTAAATATCTGTTCTGAAACTATCTGTAAACTCGACCCAAGTATCTGGCGGCAAGGGTTAAAGAATGTCAACAATGATAGAGAGTAACCGACAAACGTCGTCAATGGCAGTGTTGAAAGCACGTCGCCAATGGTCCCAAACATGCGAAGTTACTTGTCACAACTGCAGGAAGAAAAAAGGAAATATTATCAACCTGATGAAAAAAAAATACCTCATTGATTAATTCTTTGTTGATTTCAATTTGTCAGCTACTTATGCCAGGTACTTTAATTTGCTGGATACCTTATGCGTTTCTGTACATGTCAAATGTGGAACTATCGTTATAATTGCGTGAGTTGATTTTGATAACGTAATGTTGAATGAAACTTTATCAGTCACGTGAATGTAGCTCTCACCTGACCAACCAATAATCTACAAACGCAAATTTGTTCTTTGCTGTTTCGCCGTTAGGTAACAGGAAGTCATTTTTCGGGTCACCGTCGTTGTTTCCTAGAAGACCGCAACATTTCCCCTCCAGGCCAGGTGAGATCTTAACATCGGCAACATACCCCTTATCTGTATAGGACATAGAAAATTTCTCGTAGTAACTGAAAACTGCCACGCCATTCCTGTCTGTTAAAGAGAGTTTATCAGTACCAAAAACAGCGTCTTCTGCCGATGAAACTAGCTGCCCGTTGATCTAGAATGAATGAATAAATGAATGAATAAACTGAAAGTAGTAACTGGAAATTGCCGCAACATTCCTGTCTATTAAGGAGAGTTTATCAGTACCAAAAACAGCGTCTTCTGCCGATGAAACTAGCTGCCCGTTGATCTAGAATGAATGAATAAATGAATGAATAAACTGAAAGTAGTAACTGGAAATTGCCGCAACATTTCTGTCAGTTAAGGGAAGTCTACCGGTGAAAATGATTGGCCGTTTGATCTAGAAACAAACAAACAAACAAACAAACAAACAGACAAATAAATAAATAAATAAATAATAAATAAATAAATCTAACCTTAATTAAGCCATCTTTTCCCAGTGTCACGACGACGTCTCGAACACGTGCAGTAATGAGACTAACCCGGCTCACATTCATTCCATAGTATACAGTTGGTTCGTTTGTCATCGTTATTTCCCAGTCGTCATCAGAACAGTCTTTGACCAAGATATAAGTACAGACGCCCTGGAACGAATATATTCTGCCATCCAAAGTTAAGATGTGAGGGTCGCCGCTTCCACCGCCATCTATTATGAATAATGACAATAATTGGCCTGTATCATTTATGACATATGTCTGTTAATAACACTAATCTCACGCAAAAAAATAGTGTCATATTGGTAATATGTGTGACATAAATTTCCAAAGCACCGTCTGGAGAACTGATGACATCACCAAATTAACATACTAGTATTACAGAACAGCACAATTACCCCAGACTTGAGCAAACATAAGCAGTCATTGTATACAATCATATAGAAACATATGTATGTAATTGCATGTAATTTAACTCAGACAAACAAATACAGGACTGGTTTGAAAGATATATTTGAAAATTGTAAATACATTAATTGCCTGAATAAATGGAACTTTGTGTAAGCTGTAGCTCCCACAGGGAAAACAAGAAACACAACCCCCACATAGGGGCCGCAATGTTTTGATATACACTGTTGAGAAAAATAATTTTACTGCCGCCTGCAGCGGCTTGCTCGATTTTGGCTACGTCACTCCATATGTCGCGAAAGTAGTCAAAATATCGTGGTATACTTGTCCCGAGAGCATGGAAGTGGGTTATTATCCTTGTTGTTCCCGTGTTTAGCGGTGACAATATTCAGCCCATTGTGATTTGAGTACGTACCGTCTTCACAGCAAACTTCGTTTGGATTTTCACATTTATTCTCGTCTCCGTTGTCCTCTGATATGGTTTCTGTTTCGTTACAACTTGTTTTACATACTCCAATATTTTGGAGGTCACATTGATCTGTAAACACCAATGTAATGGGTGTATTAGTTCATATTTCACATTTACGTCTCAGTGATGATCCTCTTTTCCAACAAACAATGAATAATTCGTAATTGTAAAAACATGAAATCTTTAAAATGAAAACAATCACTAGACGTATCAAGCCGTATCAAGTATGTACATACGGACACTCAGTGTTTTGGCCAAAAAGACAAATGAATAGTATTATATAATAAGTAAATAGGAGCGATTATGTAACCTATGATACTGAGCACTACAGTAATTTTCGTTATTGTATTCATTTTATCGTTTATTGTATTGGCAACGACACGATGGTTCAGTTACTGCCATTGTTGAAGTATGCGCTGCTGGCTTGACTCCCATTTTCACGGTCGAGCTGGTCCCTTCGATCCAATATTTTTAGATTTTTGGCCATTTTAGCAAATTGGCGAACACTTCAATTGTAGAACCAGAAAGCCCCCGCAACGTCGATCTTTTTGGATTCAGTTTTCAACTGGCTCCTGAGCACTCCCAGCCAAAATCAAGGTGAGTATTCCTCTCCCCTGGGGGTATCGGTAATCATGACCATAGCATGTCCGTACATTGAAACAGCAGGCTGCATGCTGTTGCGGGGAACTGTGGGCCGAAGCGACATTCGATGTCAGGCGCAAACCACGGCCAACACTGTACATTTTGTAAATAACCTAATACACAGCAAGGTAATTAGTATGTTAAATTAATTCACGATCTGAGTGAGTGTACTGTACTCAGATTACAGAAATAACACGTGATCGATGCCTATTTTTACATTACTTACCAGGCCTTTTAATAATTGGGGCTGCCCTCTCACTTTCATCTGGAAAATTAAAAAAAACATGACAAATATATTGTTTTTTATTGTATGGCGTTGCACTGCACAACGCGTCGTTGCATTGTACTATTCTATTCTATTCTATTCTATTCTATTCTATTCTATTCTATTCTATTCTATTCTATTCTATTCTATTCTATTCTATTCTATTCTATTCTATTCTATTCTATATTTTACAGTCCGTATACCTTTTGCCATAGAAAGTGCAGACAATCTTCTTTCCTGTGAACATAATGGAAATAATGGATACGTTAAAACTCTGAGGAGATGAAGATTGGGTGCTTAGGTAATCAATGTTGAGCAACTTGTGTCTGTTATCATGTTATTCGTTTTTGCCAATGTATATTTAATTGTACCTTTGGTGCATTAAGTAGCAATATGGGAAAACGAGTTAAAAATTTATCTGTGATTCAGACATTCTCAAAAATTAAATAAGCATGCGATAGTGCAATGCAATATCAATGTTTATCTAAGGAATTAGCCTACGGACGATTTTACTATTGCCGTGTATCACTGTCTAGACTAGTAAATATAAGCACTGTTTTTAATACTTTCAGTCCGCGAATAACCTGTGCGGGACATGTTCGTTGGGTTGCATGCTATACCCCGTGTCTCATTTTTTTCTGTATCTGCCTTTGTTTTATAGCTACGCTCCAATTTATTCGATAATCATAATAAGGCATGAACCAAGCTTAATGTTCGCATACAATAAGTATATCTGATTGGGGTGTTTAACATAGAAGCGAAAACAAAATTGAAAAGAAATTTATTAGCAAGAAACATATTCCAGAAAAGAAGAAATATTTCTATGAGATAAATTGTTACATTACTATCGTACTAATCGTGACGTGGCACAATTCGTATACTTGTTTGTAGCCCTGCCTAGTCGGCGTGATTTAAAGCGCCCTCACCGACGTGTGTTTGCATGTGGCGCCGGTTTGGTGTCGATATATAGTATGTATACTCGACATAAATTAGGGGTACGTAATTAATTAGACTGTCGAAAGTCGCGTGATCAATTTAAAAATACATATGATACTTATTCACATAAGAACCACAACCTGGCTCGAGTAAATCGTAATCATAACATTATGCAAATTATGTCCCAGTAGCCAATACAAGCTTCAGCCCAGATAAAACAAAATGCCTAAAATTTTGCTCACAAACTTTTTCTTACCAACAAGGGCTGAAGTTAAATTTTGAGGGTTTGACAAGCTGTTTCGATTGCTCCTAATTTGGGAGTGAAGGAAGTTATCTTAAAGCGCGGTGGTCGTCGCGCAGCGCGTGTTCGAATTTCATGTAAATAAACAATGTATTTTACACGCGTTGTATACGTTGCTATGAGTCCCATATCGAACAGTGCGCGGCGTGACGACCACCGGCCTTTAATTGAACTTTATTCAAATGTCTCCATCTTGTCGAACCTGAATATCTTGTTTAACTTTTCCTACTTCCGTTAGTGCCTGATAAATGACCCTAATTGGTTCCGATATTATAATGACAAATTAAATTTAATCGTCCGATAACAATATTTTAGTATGTTCATGGTGTTAGGGAGAGAAATACCCCATTGAAACTGCCCAGATAAGAGTGCAAATTGTGACTTGGAACCCCCGATGACGTGGCAGATAACGACCACACATATCGGACCGAACACTTGATATCGGAAGGCAAATATGACACTATCTAGCCCGATAACAGACCCATTCTACCATTTCCGGCAAATTAGTACACGTGACAGTCTTTTACAAGGGGGTTGACCCTGGGTCAATCATAGCACTCACCATGAGTGAAATACATTACACTCACCAGTCACCAAGGTAACCTACTTATCAAACGAATGTACTTTCTTCTGCTTCTCGAGTGCTTACATCGCCAGATTACACATTTGTTGGAAATATGACGTCACATAACATATTTTTACTATAGATACTATGTAAATACCAACGAACTTACTTTGGATACCCCAGGTGCAGCTGTTACCATGGTAGCAGATAGCATAGCTATGACAACCACAATGACGAGCTTCATAATGACTGAAAGTATTAATTGACAGAAACAGTGAGCTGCTTTCTGCATCGTTTATGTTATTACTGTCAATAACGAGCTTCGGAACGCGTTTTTCATGTCAATGTAACTGAGAAAGAACTGGTTGTAAATTAAAAGCCCGACACATAATTATATCTTCAGACCGTCGCACAATAATATGAAATTGAAAAAAACAAACTAAAAGTGAAGAAGTGTGCCCAATTGGCTAAGAAGTTCGGTCGCTTTTGTTATTATGCGATAACTTAAATGAAAACTTCCACACTGGGTTCGCAATCTCATCATCAGTGAAGTGTTTAGCGGATGTCTAAGACCACAGGAATATACACTGATACAGTGATGTTACAAATGCTGCGATACTATTATGGGATACATTGACCAATCGATATTTTCAATGAGTTATTT